GGGGGGCGTGGCTCACGTGATTGGGTGAAGCGTTCGTCATCTGTTGTTGTTTTGTTGTTGTTCCAATCGGTTGTGGCGCTTTCGTTGTCGCGGAAGAGGTTGGCTCTTGGATGCATTGCCCCGCAATATGTTCGATGGGTTTGACGGTGTTTTGCAGGGGCGGTGGGGGTGGCGGCGGCTCTTAACACGGGTCGCCTCGGTAGGCGATGCCCTACCAACTTTTTCTCGGATGTGTCCTCAAAGGATTCGGGTAACAATTAGTGCGACAACACCCCAGAAGTTTTTTTGTAGAGATCGCGAGGGCAAATGGTTTGAGGTGTTGGGTTTTGCCGCATGTCGGCTATGCACGTGAGGCTCGATGGTCACATGTGTCGGAAGCATAACAAACGTTTTGCATCTCGCTGCGCCTCTTTCAAGTAACCTTTTTCGCGTTCCTTTGCGCCCTTTGCGCGCGCGTGTGTGAACGGCCGGTGTGTCACTCCCAGATAGATGCCTTGACATGTGCTACTTGGCGTTCTGCTGTGATTTCTGCCGCCTTTGCATTGTGGCCAACGATGATACCTGCTGGAGATACTTTTTGTTGGGTCATGAACCTCTCGTTGATGGTGCTCGCTCGCGCGCGCACCCGACAACTCAACACTCTCTTGAGTGAGTTGTTGCCGGGATCAAGGCGGCTGAAGCAGCAGCACAGCCACGTGCCTCTCTCTCTGACAAGAACGCGTTTACCCTTCCAGAAGGTTGTTGGTCGAAAGAGCCTCGCCTCTTGGGTGGCACACTTTCGTCGCGCGGGACGAATTGCTGTTCGCACCAGCTACACGTTACGTGCACCATGCACACAAACACGTCGTACCACCAACCGCAGCAAATTTACCACCCAAGCACACAACCCACGGCAAGGAGATGGGTTAAAAGGAGCACGCCTCCAATGCGTCACCACGGCCAAAGCTACAAATACAAACCAGGGCAACAGCACAAGACACATTTGTTTCGGAGGCCACGCAATCAGAACGTTCTCAGGAACAAGAGGATAGCCACTTTTGTTTCGCTAAGCTCGAACTGTGCACGTGTGTAAAAAGCTTCCACTGCTGGAACTCCCGGGAACCAACGGCGAGTGCCTACTGTCTTGGCGTCCACGGTGTGGGACCGACGATGATGATTACAACTACGGCGCCCGAGAGTATTGACGGCCAGCCAAGTACGGGGAGTTCTTCAAGGGCCTCGCCCCCCCCCTCCCGCGCGCCCGCACACACAACCGGAACCCTCCTCCGCCCCTGTTTCGTTCAGACCAGCATCCACGACGTTTCCATCCCCAGGTAGAAGTTGTGCTGCCTGGCTCTCTTGAGCGCTGTCATCAATGCCCGTTTCGTTTTCTAGGTTGGCGGGAGGGAGGTGCGAGAGCGACAGGGCAGCAGAGACAGGAAAAGACACGCCGGGGCTCAGTAGAACCGTTGGGGGCGGGGGGGGGGGGGCACTCACGT